GTGAAGAAATATTTTTGCTTTAATTAATGAAGCGTAATCGCTACAGTTAAAAGGAAATAAAAAATCACTCCAATAATAAAGTCTTTTAATTCAAATTATTATGTAAAATTTAATATGTGAATTTTTAAAATTATTACATTAATTAATTAATTAATTTTTAAAATTTCAAAACTCTAGAAATATAAATGTTGCTAAATTTTATATTAATTTTTAGTTTAATAAGAAAAATGTGTAGCGGAATTAAACACATTTTTACCATAAATATAAATATAAATCTATTTTCTGTTTACCTTTAAATATCTTTTAATAAAAAATAAATTTATTTGCTACATCAATTCCTGATCCATTACGGATTTTATTTGAATAAAACTTAAATTTTAATTTCAATTAGAAAATACTTTCTTAATTGAATATCAATGAAAGGATTTTCTCCTTATTTTAACATTTTTAATAAAAGATCGTTTTTTAAAAGATATTGATTTTTATTGTTGACATGGATTTTATCCAAAAAACGGAGTGGAATTTTGCCAACCTGACCTTCCTCGGTCGACGAGATCGTTTTCGTCTCCGCGATCGCTGTCGCTAATTTATGCGCACGCATTTAGAGACACGACATGTACGTGACACGAAGCAGTGAGTTACCTTCATAGACAGCGCGTGCTACATCGCTGATACATCCTCAAAATACATCTCAAAAAAGGGACGGAAAAAGACTATCGCTGTCAATTGATACATTAAAAAATTGACTAACAATGTGTGCTATAAAAAAATATAAATCCAAGCTACATCGAGAGGATTATTATTATTACACGAATAATTATACAGGGTGGCCCCGAACGTTCCAGCCAGACTTTGAGATCTTATAGGAAATTTAATTCTGAACAAAAAATTTCCTATAAACATGGGTCGAAAAATGCTTTAAGAAGTTATCGCTCAAAAACATCTGATGAAGGAAGAGCAAAAGATGAAAAGAAAATGAAATAAAAAGAAAATGAAACTAAATAAATTTCTTGAAAAAAAATAAAAAATAAAAATCTTTTTCTTTTATGAAAATAAAATAATTTTTTCTTTTAACTAATATTTTAGTAATAGCACGTAATAGTAGAAAATGAATAAAGAAATTTATTTAGTTTCATTTTCTTTTCACCTGTTGCTCTTCCTTCATTTTTGAGCGATAATTCTTAAGGAAGCATTTTTCGACCCATGTTTATAGGAAATTTTTTGTTCAGAATTAAATTACCTATCTCAAAGTCTGGCTGGAACGTTCGGGGAACCACCCTGTATAAAAATGTAAATGAAAAATAATTTAACAAGAGACTTCTTCAACACACAAGCCTGGTTATTCAAAGTTGAAAGCATGAATTTCGAACCTATTTTTCAATTACGCAATCGAAGATTATACATTCGACTATGTGATTCCCCTAAATAACGGCGCGATACGTCGGTTCCGACACGAGGAGGTCGAAAGCGAGGAGGATAAGCGAGAGTCGAACCAGAGACCTCGAAGAGCCGTGATACATAACGTAACAGTGCTTTAGCAAGCAGAAATAATGAGTCTATTATACGTCTGTGTTGGTCGCTTTGTAACGAAGAAGACGTCCGTATATTATACGGTACCAGCCGGGAGCTTCGGGGGACTTTGGTGTCGCATGAGCGAGTATCAGTCAGCGGTTGTCAAACTTTCCGAAATCCGCCTTTGATGTCTCATACGCGTGTGTCGGCGATTGCCAGACCAAAGCCCCTTTTCATAATTTATTTATACCTTCCCTAAAATATCGGCAACATTTACGACATTACTCCGGACCTCTCCAACATTTCTCACTCGTTTAATTTATTCCCTTTTCGCCGAGACTCGCGTACAATGGGCAAGAGCTCTCGGAAAGAAAGGGAGAATATCGGCGGGCAAAGTTTATTCTCTTGTAAATAGCCGAGAATCTCCTTAGGTAGAAGCCAAGTTTCAGTTCAGAGAGGCTCCGACGCTGATTTCATTCTGTTTTCCACGTAGACGGAACGCGATCGAAATCAGGATAGAGGCGAGGGATAAAACGCGAGCGCATTCATTAACGTGCGTACGTGTGTGAAGACGAACACATGCGAGCGAATCGTCTCCATTGTCCGCGACGGAGCGTGTAGAGAGCCCGACTTTCCCTCGTTCACCCACGGTCACTGCTGCAGTGACGTAAGGCCCCTCGCCAGGGTAATTGTTATCTATGTACGAAGAGACTCGCTTCATAATGCCTCGCTCGGCTCGGTTCTATTCTGTTCCGTTCCGTCCCGTCGTCGGCTTCCATTGCTTCCATTCCACCGACATCAACGCACTCGATTTTACGCGCGTATCTTCGCTTGATAAATTGAAGTTAATTAAATAAAAAATTGTAATTTTTGTGGAGAAACAATTTTTTGTAATTTTTGTGGAGAAACAATTTTGTAATTTTTGTGGAGAAACAATTGTTTATTTAACTCATTCTTCGCGGCCCCAATTTCTCGAAAATGTTTATCTTTTAATAATTTTCAAGTTATAATTGAAAGTTATACATAATTGAAAAAGAAGGGCTTTTCAGAAATTAAACTCTGTGAAGTCACAAGATTAATAAAATTAAATCAAATATATATTTTTTTAATGTAATTTTGATAAAATATTAATTTAAAGTATGATGATTCTAAAGACGTGAAAAAAGGAATTTTCCTCTCAACATTTTCAATGAGAAAAAATTAATTTAAATCGATTAGAGAATTTATTAGAAAAACGTTCGATTTTTGGATATTTTATATTGATAAAAAAATCCTTAGATTTCAGAAGCTTCAGGTATTAATTAACGATGCAATTAAAACTGCAATTTCGCGATCTTTATCAATAATCGAAAAATATTATATTCCAAAGAGTATAGTTTTATATTAGAGTATATTTTATTTAATTTTATTAACCTTGTGGCTTCACCGAGTTTAATTTCTGAAAAGCTCTTCTTTTTCAATTATGTATAACTTGAAAATTATTAAAAAATAAACCTTTTCGACAAGAAAACATTTCAAAAATATTGGGATATCCTGTATATAAACAAAAACAGTTAATATTCGTTCACTTTTCGCACTCTTGAATTTTACGTTATCAAATATCGAAATATCATACAACTCCACAAGTGCACCGGCAGATTTCAATCTCTTTCAACAGCGCATTGATATATTGTGTAAAAAAAAAAAAAATAAAACGCACTCGGGGAAAGTTGATTCAGCGCGATAATGATGAATGCTTACGATCTTACGACGGATAAACACGAATATGGATATGACGAAAGTAACTCGGTCAAAGCCAGATAGACGATCAAACGTCGATGGCTAAATGGAAAATTGGGTCAGTTATATAGCGCGCATCGCGAGTTTTGTGCAACCATTTTCCACGTCACTCAAGAACACAGCAACAGGCAAATTTTACATATGGATTGCGCCAGCATTGGCGTTGATATTTTCACTCATTTTCTGCGATCTCGAGTGGAATAAAAATCAAATTCGAGGGATGACGATATGATTCTTAGTTCGAGTACGAATTTTGTCAAATTATTATTTACAATGTACACAATTTTGCACGAAATTATTTACATTGTAAGTAATAATTCGACAAAATTTCGTTAACTTATTGTTTACATTTCAACAATTTTGCATAAAATTGTTTACAATGTAAATAATTTCGTACAAAATTGTTTACGATGTAAATAGCTTCGTGCAAAATTGTTTACAATGTAAATAATTTCGTACAAAATTATTTACATTGTAAGCAATTGTACGAAATTATTTGTACGAAATATTATCTGTACGAAATATTTGTACGAAATTATTTAGATTGTAAACAATAAAATAATAAACAAAATTTATTGTGCAATAAACATTTGTTCGATCGAAGCTTGGTTTTTACAGAACTTGTCGCGCCGTATCTTTGGCAATCTTTTTGTTTCATGAATCGCAATAGAGAGAAGCCGCGATTCAAAAGATACCGTTCTGAAAACTTGTGTGAATGAATAGAATAGCTTAGCGAGAGAGTTATTCCACGAGCTATTCCAAAAAAATGAGTTTGAATGTGCCGCGCGAATAGCTTACGTCATCCCCGATGTTATCTCCAAACTATCATGTGGGATAGCTCGTTCATTTGTTATTCAGATATTATGTAGCAACGCATTGTCCAAGATTTCCAGAGTGCTTATCCACGATAAGGAGTAAAACTCTTTAGAGTTTAACGAAACGAAATGTCGTGGAAAAAATTGAAAATGTGCCAGCTAACGGTATCTTGAAGATGGGATCTTCTCGATCGAATTTCACCCCCTTTTATCGCTCGTCGTAAACTCTAACGAGACATACGGCTTGAGTTTTGCAACTCCCTCCCCTGACAAGGAGACTGGATATTCGACAGTTCGATTTCTAGACGTCGTGTCGGTGAAATCGCGACTTGTCGCTGACGGCTATACGATGACGAAGAAACGTTAAATGAGAAACGAACAGTGACGATAATGAGAGGTTTGCGTTTGCAACACGTGAGAGATGTTATCAGCCGCTCTGACGTAACAATGAGAAACTCCTCCACGCTTTCGTTTGCACTTGCAATCGGGGAAATAAATAAAAACGGCTTGTCGCGTAATTTAGCCGCTCATTGCGTGCGTTGTATGCAACCGATTATCGATATTCGAAAAGAAAGGAGGACTTGAAACGTGGCTGTCACCGCAATTACCCGCCAGTCCTTCTTCTCTTTAGTTTACGCGCACGTTTACTCGACTTTAGTTGGGTTGGCGAGAGCATTTTACATCTCTCTTGGTACCCTTGATTAAATTTTTCGACATCTTCAGGATTCGAGCCTCAATAATAAAGCCTCGGAAACTCCCACAACTATTGGACAAAAAAATTTTGTTCGATATACCCAGTGACGTCAAGAAACATCACTAATAGAGAATCCCTACACCATCCCAAGAGCGATGATCGTGGAGGAAAAGGCGAAGGAATAGAAAAAATGGACTTACCATCGTTATGATACTGTCTCGATGGCAGGGACACCGCGGCTGAAGAAGGTTGTATCGGGGGTTGTTGTTGCGTGGCGCTCTGAGGAGGACCGGAGGAGTTGGAGGTGGCCGAATTGGCGGGCGTCGACGGGTTTTTATGCTCTGGTGTTGCCACCTGATGATGGCCGGCACCCTGGTATCCCACAAAATCACCTAAATCTGGCACGCATACGCTTTCGTACAAGTTCGCCGGCACGTTCTCCGGAGAGGCCTTTGCTGCGTCCACATCTGAATGTAAAACGGAGATCAATTCTCAACCGGGCTGCACCTTTAGTCTCTCTTTATGTTCTTTCTACGCCCTCGCGTGTCTAATTAAGTCCGCTCCTATTTTGGAATCTTAATTTACTCCGCGTCTAAGAATCGCTACAAATCGCAGAATCCCAATCAATAACTTTTTCCCAAATTGCGAGAATAAATCCAAATAACATTACTTACTCAGAATTTGGGTTACTTGCTCGTCTTCCCAAGATTCCCAAGATTCTGAATGTAAAATGGAGATCAATTCTCAACCGGGCTGCACCTCTAGTCTCTCTTTAAGTTCTTTCTACGCTCTCGCGTGTCTAATTGAGTCCACTCCTATTTTGGAATCTTAATTTACTCCGCGTCTAAGAATCGCTACAAATCGCAGAATCCCAATCAATAACTTTTTCTCAAATTGCGAGAATAAATCCAAATAACATTACTTAATCAGAATTTGGGTTGCTTGCTCGTCTTCCCAAGATTCCCAAGATTCTGAATGTAAAATGGAGATCAATTCTCAACCGGGCTGCACCTCTAGTCTCTCTTTAAGTTCTTTCTATGCTCTCGCGTGTCTAATTAAGTCCGCTCCTATTTTGGAATCTTAATTTACTTCGCGTCTAAGAATCGCTATAAATCGCAGAATCCCAATCAATAACTTTTTCTCAAATTGCGAGAATAAATCCAAATAATATTACTTAATCAGAATTTGGGTTGCTTGCTTATCTTCCCAAGATTCCCAAGATTCGACTAGTCTTAAGTAAACAAAAATGTCATGGGCGAGGTTCGTAAAATGAAGATCCTTGACGAGACGCATACATGAATGTATTCGCATGAATGGTTGCATGCGCCTCGTGGATAGCGCACATGTTAATCGTAATAATTGAGCCTTATCTGAGCGCGCATACGATAATAGTTATCGCCCGTGGCACGTGCGGTGCTCGTACGGTTTTTCAGCGATATTATGACAAGAATAAAATGTTGCGCACCGTTGTCATTAAGTTATTCCCCCAGCGGTGATTGCGCGCGAGCGTGATTAACGATCTCGAGTGTAGCACTGTCATCATCGCGAACACCGGGTTGTTGCGAAGGAGACGCGCGTGATTCACCGTCGGCGTTTCTACGTTTCTAGAAATTCTCGTGGAACAATCGTAGACTAGAAATGCAAAACGCACGTGCCGAGGACGTGTCTCGCGCTTCTTCGCTCTTTGCGAATTATCTCGCCTCCCGAAAGCGCCTCTTTATTCTCCCATTAATGATGTTTCTCCAAGTGATTTTGGGATCATCGTCGGAATTGGAAGTTAATATGTGCTAGAGAAAATTAAGATACGAGCTCAGATTATTTTTTACCGAAAAATGTTTCCAATAATCAAAAACTGACATTTTTATGAATGATTTTACAGGTGAAATTGGACTTTAAAATTAAAAAGGGAAAAAAGATATCGATCTTTCGTCTCGGCGATGGCGACACGCGTCGCTTTAATGAATTTCACCGTGATTCCGATCGGTATCGCTCTACGACAGGAAGATACATACAACTTTTTAGTTTCTACTTTTTTATACAACGCAAGAGCGTTTCCTAACATCCGTTCTCATTCGCGGAATCAAAGCGATTACCCACGTCGTGTCGCGACTGGGCGCACGCTAGGCCTCAGTTAAATTACCGTCGCCCCCGGTCGGAGGGGAATCACGTGGCACGGCCGATTCTATCTTGTTCACAATCGTAACACAATAATAAATTGCAAGTTGCACGACTGGAGAGCGAAACAATGACGATTCTATTCAACCCTCGTCCCGCCATTCATTAAAATTTCACGAGACTATCCTTCCTAAATTTTGATGAATCGCAGGTAATGATCGATGATCAAGATAATGAAAAATTATCATCAAACTTTAAACTAGCGAGAGAAAATATTTTTAAAACTTTTTGGGAACTTTTTTTAAATTTTATAGCAAGTTTTTTATTATTTGAATTTTATCAAGTAAAGGGAATATCGATTTGTTTTAGATGAATAATATTTGATCCTCGAGGAAAAAGGAAATCTTAAATTGGGAGATTTTTTTGGATGAAACTTTACACATGCAGAGGAGTGAATAAATGAATGTATTTTGCGGCGCAAAACGATTCTAAGGAATAAAGTCATCTCTTATGATTTTCTTTCTTTTCTCAATAATATTTCCAAAATTAGTCGAGATATCAAAACATGTTTTTTTTTACAAAAGTTTCATGATAAGAATGCCTCTATTTGATTAATAAAATTTTGAAAAAAAATCTGTTTTAATTATTTTTTCAAAATTTTATTAATATGATTGAATAGAGGTATTTTTATCATAAACTTTTGTATAAAATATTTTTTGATATCTCAAATAATTTTGAAGAGATGAGCAAAAAGTCATTTTATGAAGGTGAAGTCGTCATTTTTTTCGCCATTAAAAATTTCTAAATTTCTATTCATCAACCCCCACTCCCCCACATATGTGTAGTTCGTCAAAATCAGAATTTTCCAGGTGGCAAGATTTCTTTATAAACCGGGTTAAATTCTAGCCTAAAGTAGAAAATTCTACTTTATTCACGTTCCCTTTCGGCACGAGACAAATTACGTATTCGAGACGAATCTCGAGTTTTGTGGAGAGTTACCGTTAGTATAGTCGTCCTTAGATCGCGCTAGACGATTAAGCCGAGGTTGCAGTACCGATGATGAGGCGACATGAATAATCGATAAGGAAGTGCGGGGTTTTGCTTAACGGGAGTTAAATCATGGGCGAATATCTCAGCTTCCTGCCTCGTCATTTCGTACGATCTGCATCTCCATCTCCTACAGTTTTCCATCCTCCTCCATCAGTATTCCTCTCTCCTCTCGACTCCCCCTCCTTCGTCATCCCAGTCTCCTCTGTCCCTCTTACAAAAAAATTCACCTTTCTCTTTTATCATTTCAATTTTCTCGTCTTTTATTAAAATTCATTTTTTGAATATCAAAGACACTTGTAGTTTGTTAACATTATTTAATCTTCCGAAAACAATTTTAGAAATGTAACTGTTTCGAGTAGGTTCAACTAGAGACGCTGAATAGATGAAAAAGAAAATGAAGCTGATTATTTTTTCCGAAAATCTTTCTGAAAAAGATTCTGGAACAGATACGTGAAATTTTGTCGTGAATTTGGAGATTGAAAAAAAAGATTGATAAAAAAGATATTTTAAACAAGATATTTTATTTTTGCACTTGCATCGTTCCCATCTCCAATGGATCTTCAAGATCCATTCTTCATACTGGAGAGTCCGGATACTTTTCCTTTGAATTTTCCTTGCTTTGTTAAGAAACTCGAACGTGCGTTTACAGCGAACTTGACTTGCTGTTTTGAGCTCGCACGTACCACAACAACAAGGGGGCACGAGAGGGGGCGGGGAGGAGGGATTGAAATAGGAGGGACCGAGCGAGGACCTCTAGGCCCTGGACCATTGATGGTACGTCGCGAGATTGAAATTCGAGTGAATTCTTTGGTGCACGCGAGTACATCCCCGAAAAGCGTCCAAGTGGCCGCGGCAATGGCCGCTGCACCGTATCCTCGGCGGATATCCGGGATGGGAGTTCTTTCTATGGCGCCCCGTCTTTCTTCTCCTACGCTTCTCATTCTCCGGTTCGCGCTGCGGATACCAAGGTAAAAACGAGGGGCCTCGATTCAACGAAACGCGAGATATCTGGGGGGAGAGAAGGGAGGAGGAGGAGGAGGTGGAGAAGAGAGTCGGCCACCACCCGCCCTTCTTTTATCGTCCTTTTGTCGTTGTCCGCCGTTAGTCTTTTTCTGCTGGCATGTTACGCCGTAACGTCGCGATTTTACGGAAATTCGATCAGTTTTGTTCGACGGAAGGTGGCTGTCGCAAAAAGGACGCAATGCATGCTTCTTGCGCGATTAGCCCTGCGCTTGTGACGCGGGCTCCCAGCGCTTGCAAGAAACGCATCGACATTCAAATCGCTAGCTTTATGTAATTTCTAATGAAAAAAAAATTATATCGCTAAAAATTACATCGTTAATTTCGACTCATTGTCAGTTGAGAGCGTTGCACTTAAATTATGAGCAATCATATGTCAGACTATCTATCTCGTATTAGAAACTTGAATTTTGGTAATCCAGAGTTTATAATATAATTAATATTATAATGTAATTAAAAATGTTCAGTAAAATTATAGAAAGATTGTATATTGCAGCAACATCGTAATATTGCTGTAATATTGCAGCAACATCGCAATACTGCAGCAGCATTGCAGCAACATCGCAATACTGCAGCAACATTGCAGCAACATCGCAATATTGCTGCAATATTGCAGCAGCGTCGCAATACTGCAGCAATATTGCAGCAACATAGCAATATTGCCACAAGATTGCTGCAATGTAACAACAATCTGTGCTGTATGTAGTAATTTTTGATATTAATAATCTTTTTAGGATATCGAATTCAGCCGACTAAAATTGATCCATTTTCATCAAGCTATTTAAAAAAAAAATATTCCTTCGGTTTTATACGTGTTATATATAATAATCTTTTACGTGAGAATCCAAGTAAAGTATATTGTATTTTTAACGATAACTTCTATTTTTCACTTAAATTTTCGCGTACAATTAAAGAATTTTTAGGCATTACTATCAACCAGCTCTTAATCGCTAGTTTTCTCGTGTTGTTTAATACATATAGAGCCTAATTCCTTTCAATTTATTCTATTTTTCATTTTGGATTAAATTGATGGACGAGACGATATGAAAAAAGAGCACGTACTTTTCTGCAGGATCTCGAGATGCTCCCATAGGATGTCGCCCATGAAGGTGGTGGGGGTACGTTCTAGAAAGGATTCCTTCCCCATGGCACAAATCTGTTTCCCGGTCATGTGCTGCCACGATTGCATCGGCACACCCTCCAGGGAGAACTCCCCGATGGCCCATTGCAGCCAGTGGGCGACAGCTGTTTCCGACCATTGCCTCGGGTCTGAAAAGAGAAAACAAGAGCCGGATTGTTTTTTAGCAGCTACCTCCTAGGTGGATTCTATCCTTGCTCGGCCCCTTATCGCCTGGTCTCGCGATTCTGGCGATAAGAAGGGATCAGAGAACTGGACGATCGTATCCATCTCAACCCTAACCCTTAATCTCGAACAGGAGACGAGGCTGTATCACGTCTCTCGCCGACTATTTTGAGAAAATGACGATAACGAAAGGTTTATTTTCTCAAGAAACGGGGTCGCGTTCCCTTCCATTGCCTTTTAAACAGTAAGAGCGGACTTTGGGACTTCTGGGTTTCCCGAGTAATTTGGATTCTCGCAGATGTGGCGGTCATCCGAGAGCGAGCTCGTTAAGGTCTCGCTGAGAGTCACCGAAGAAACGAACATTATACGACAACATACGTTCGTCTGTTGACGGCGCTGATCATTAGTCAGGCCCAGCCGGCCATCTTTGGTGGAAGCGATACCGAGAAACATCGGAATGTCCCATTTGAGGTGCGCGCCCATATTTGCACGCGTGTCTTGCATTGTTTCGTGGTATCTCGCTGCGTAAAAGTACAGTTCGGCTCATAATGCAAACAGAAGTTACCAACGTAGCGACTTGCTAATGTATACAGCTTTGCTCTCACAATCTCGTAACCGTCCTTTAACACTCACGACGCCAACAGGATGGTCGAACGATCCGAGGTCTAGCCTCGTAAAGATCGAAATACACAGGGTGTCTCCAAAACAAAGATTCTCAAAATTGCGAAATGTTTTCTTTTTTTTATATTTTGTGCATAATTTTATCCACTATATAATAAATCAGGTACATTGATAGAATTGTGTTATTAAAATGAGAGATGAATAAAATCGAGAATTTAATCGAATAAATTAATGTTTCGAAAAGTGCATTTATTAAAATTGAATTTGAATTTAGAGAAGTGACACTTGATGTAATAAAAACAATGTTGCATCTATTTGAAATGTTGAAATAACTATTGCTTCGATAAAAATAAATTTTCCTTCGAGCAAGAATAAAATCAAGCTATAGAAATGCAAACTGCCAGTAATCAATTCAGCAATAGTCCTTCTCTGATATCCATATCTGCATATTAAGTGATTTTTAATATGCGACGAACAATGCAAATTCGATAAATGGCACGATGAGCGACGTTGTTCGCAGAATCGATAAAGTACAAACTAAATTGACGTCTTTCGCGCGCTCAGGATAGGATATAAATACGAGAAAAACGGAGAGGAAGGTGAGCATCGAGGCAGCGAGAGTGTCTAACGGCACGGCACGTTCAAAGCGACCGCCTCTGTTTGATGATCGTACCGATATTTGCCCAACTTTATTCTTGACAGCGTTGTTAGCAGACTTTACACTCTCTTTCTCGCCTCGCATTTGAACACAAATGCGAGTGGACCCGCTCCTTTTACTAGATCGCTCTCGGCGCGTTATCTCTTCATTACATTAATTTTACCCTTTATTCTCCCGCTCTTTCCTTGTTCATCCGGATAAGACTTTGTCAAAGACAATTTGCATATTTCGACATCTGTCTGGGGCGCCTAACCTGTTGGCCACAATAGCAAAGGTGTTTGAGGAGTGTTAAATGATAAAAGCAATCAAGCCCGTCATCATTGATCGTCAAACAGAGATAATGAGCAGGTGCCACCTTAAAATCCCTTGAAATCCAAAGTTACGGCCGTGATCGCGAGATAGCGATCGGTGAGTTTAGATATCCTCTATTGTAAGGCGCCAGGTTACAATAGACAAACACCGTGTTTCGAAAGTCACACGAGGATTCGCAGAAGCGAATCATCTTCCTATCCAAGCGTCGAAGGATCTTTACGCTTGTATTTATTATTCAAAAGAGATAGATTCTGAATAAGTCATAATAGCAACCGCGATATGACTGCGCCGGAACGTAATTGTGAATGCACGCTGCGTCTTTTATATAGTAAGTGTACACATTCTCTCATATGTACACCCTTCGATGAGACGTAACAATACACATCGAACCGGCTTCAATGTTCGTAGGAAATTTAATAATAATTTCTATACCAATCTTTTTGCGGAGCCAATTAATGTCTTCAATTTTTACATTAATTATGAATAAAGAAAAATTTTGTATCATTTTAATTTAATTTTAATTTAAATTTAATTTTTAATTTAATTTAAATTTAAATTTAATTTTTTAATATTATTTATTATACAACAAATCATCATAAATGAATTTAGATGAATTTTGATATAATTTTTTTTAAACTTCTATTCTTTACAATCTATCGCATTTAAGGATATTCAGTAAAGATTTCGTAATAAATATATGTCTTGCTTAGTGAGAATTCATTGATACTCCCAAGGAGGTCTTTATCATGGTGAAGTTGTAAGGATTACAAATAATTAAAAAAATAAATATTGACTAGATTTGTTTAATGATGCAGATTGACGTTTCCCAAAATTGGGATAAAAATTCAGCGAAATAAATGAAAATAAAATCGCAGGAATGTAAAAAAAGGCCAGTCTCGAAATGAGATGATGAGAGGAGAAGGAGGAGGAGGAGGAGGTTTGTTCGTTAGGTTCACGGAGGTCAGACTGTAGGTGATCTGGCCTGGAGGGTACGAACCCGGGGCATGTAGACCGGAAGTAACGTCACACCCGCGTGGCTCTGAATGCGCATACCGGATGTGTGGCATCGGCTCCCCATCAGAACCATCAACATCACATTCACAATTCCTGCACATCGCCGGCCGGCTCGTCGCACATCGCGTCACACGTAAGCACGAACGTATGCGTGGGTTTCTCTCCCCTTCTCTGCGCTCGCAGCGATTTTTCAACACTTGCGCGAAAAATAAATAAATTCCGAAAATCGTCAAGAGTCAATTTTGCAAAAATTTTGAATAAATATATCTAGAGAATTTAATGTATTTATAAAAAAGAAAATAGTTTAATAGGATAAACGTGGATTTTTCATTGGCTCCGCGAGAGCCCAATTAAAGATTCCACGCGTAATTTTATGGTAAAGGAATGCAATTTATTTCGATGCGTTCAATGGAAGCACGCGTTACGCAATTTTACGATGGAAAGATGAATCAAGAATAAATGTCTGACCTTTATTTATGTTCAAGCGGAGTCGTTCCTTTTCCCAAGACGCGAAGACGGCTTCTAGAGCCTCGGTCATTTTCTTGTTGGTCCCAGGCGTCAACGGCGGCACTTGCGCCGGTATATCTGGAGAACAAAAAAACAAAGAGAAGCGTAAATACATTTTAATCACGCAGATTTGGCGATTTATTAGGAAACTCGAAAAAGCACGAGGCGTTGTGTATTTTTTTTACTGATTAATATAAATTAAAATAATTCTTTTAAAAAACGCGCCATAATCACCTTCGTGATGAAATATACAGGATGTCCCATTTTAATGTCCCACCCCAAAGGAAAAATATGTAATTGTTAATTGCAAATTACATATTTTTTCTTAAAAATAACTATGTGTTTTCTTTACACCAATTGATTCCTCTCATTATTTTGTACATAAAAGTACTAAGATAATTGAAAAATGAATATTTTACAAGATTTTACGGTTTATATAAAATTACACCCTGTATATTTAAAAATCCCATTCCTGAATAATGCATAATATGCGCTCTTTTTTAGTTCCCCAGATGTCTTAAGAAAATTGAAGATATAACTGGAATGCAAACCAAAATGTAGAAAGTCTTTGAATGTATTCTCTCGCATACATGTATTATACGCAAAAACAATAAGGCATGGGAAAAGATTTTTTATCAGCACGCTTCACCTTTTCAACGCGTTAGAAAAAATGAATTTTGACATGCAAGATGAAATTAATTATAAATGTTAATTATAAATGCTTAAATTATTGTTTATATTTATTGCAAAATAAATGCGTAGCTGGAATTTTTTTTCCCTCTTACAACTTTCTAAAAATATTTCAACTAAACTTTTCCACAATCCCTATTTCTTATTTAAAATTAAAATCAGGTTTGGGTTAAGGTAGAATTTTTTCCGAGCGCAAGTGCCAGGAGAAGGACGAAAACCCTTCCCACTCATGTACTCGCTTAAATATGCAAATGTGCAACTAATGTAGAATTCATGTTCGGTCAAATTCAAATTATTGCATTTAATACTCGTTTGCATCGTCAACTTTACTCGTTAATTGTTTAATAAGAAACGAGCGATAGCTCGAAAAAGTCTCAAGATTAAGTTTAGTGTTAAGTTTTAAGATTACTCTATCTTGAGTAATATAAAATCTGAAGATTACAGTTATGAGGATTAAGATTACTCTTAAGGATTAGATTAAGGATTATTCCGAATCAGCTTAACAATGTCAAAGTTAATCTGTCATATCTCTTGCTTCTTTTCTTTTTTTAAATATATTAGATAGTGATTTCAAACGCTTCTTATTCAAGAATTCTCAACATATGTCAAAGTCAAGGTGACTCATGCTGTATAAATATTTAATTTAAATTAATCCCTCACATTTATTTTTTTTCTCTAATTAAGAGACATGTATCTGCAAAAACTTTATTAAGGATGTTTATTAAGGATGTTTTGTACCTATTTTTAAAATATTGAGAATTTAATAAAAATTCTACAGAATTGTAAATAATTTAATGTCGCTAGTCGAGTAATCAAAGGATCAATAGAAAAACTGTAGTCGACCAAACTAGCCAAAAAAATTTTAGTTTATTAATACAACGTTTCGACCATGTGGTTGTGGTCCTTATCAAGTATACACTAAAAAAGATTTATAAATACATAAATTAACGGTTTGATTACATAGTAACGCATAGGGAATTAAAGTGTGAAAGATTTTTACCGATGTAATTCTACAGAATGTTTTCACATATGTTTAGAATCTTTAGTACAATTTTTAAATCGATTCGCTAAAGCGTTCACAAGTTTTAAGGATTTTAATTTGCACCGAATTAACATGTGTTCTTATGGGAAACGTATAACCACGTCGATTCAAATGACAAAAACACATGGAAATAATATTCAGATTTGTTTAAAATTTGCAAAGGTTTAGATACAGAGAAATATTTGATCAAATAATATTATACAAGTACTAACTGATTAAAAAGATATTAAATATAATTGAATGAAGTTAGCCATGTATCTGTCACAAGGCGAAATTTCAAAAAATTTCCACACAATTTCTCATACTCAAAATACACCAAAAGTGGATATTCGTCAATATTGATTTTCAGCTACTTTTTACTGAGATTATATACAAAACATCCTTAATTTCCATTTGCACTTCGCGATTATTAAAATTTCTAATCATTCTTTAGTTCAAGTTTAACGTTTCATGAAAAACATATGATTCCACAAAACCTCATATTTATAAAAAAAAAGAATTAAATTTTTCGGCACCGCCAAAAAAGAATCGAGCAAATCACACGTCATGATTCAGATAGAGAACCGATATTCACCAGTGGCACAATTTCTCATACTCAAAAGTGGATATTCAATATTGATTTTCAGCTACTTTTTGCTAGGATTACATACAAAACATCCTTAATATCCATTTGCACTTCGCGATTATTAAAATTTCTAATCATTCTTTAGTTTAAGTTTCATGAAAAACATATGATTCTACGAAACCTCATATACAAAAATATAATTAAATTTTTCGGCACCGTCAAAAAAAATCGAGCAAGTCACACGTCATGATTCCGATAGAGAACCGATATATGTATTCACTAGTTGCATTCTCGGGACGATTTTTTCCAAGGGAGGTGTCGAAAAATGGAAAACGCGCAGGCAGATTCGGTCGGCGGAACGAGAGATAGCAACGAGGATGGGGAGGAAGAGAGGTGCCGAGCCTGTCCGTGTGTGAGAAGGCAGGTTAATGTTGCTTCTCACAGGCGGGAGGTGCGTGTACGCGTTGCACGTGTGCACGTGCGTGCGTCAGGTGTGTCGCGCGCGACTACCAAAGCAACGGCGAAGCGAAGGCGAAGCGAGCGAGGGGCGCGCGCAGCCTATCTTAGATAGCATCGTCATAAAGAGGGGTGCAACTGCCGGCCAGAGAGCAGGCAGGTGCATCGTCGTCGTCGCTTGGCTTGTTCTATGGTGTTTGCGCCGCAAGAGACGCTATTTTAGCTCCCGCTGCGATCTCACTTTCTCGCTCATTTTGCAAGAGTTGTCAATTTTGCGTCAAGTTTCGTCCAATTTTCCGGCGCAAGGAAGAGCCAGCTTGCATTTCCTTCGAAAAATTTTCTAATAAAATAAGGAATAAGCTTGGAATAAATTTCATAGCCACGTGAAAATTGTTTGGGAAACAACGAGAAATTTTCTCTGTATTCTGTATTATCCTGGAATGTGATAAAAATGAAAAAAAAATTGATAAAGTATCGCATCCTGATAAGATTACGGCCTTCGTGGTAAAAATTCCTCTCGTTGCCTTGATTATAATTTATAATTTATTCGAGGCTCGCATCATTTTAGGAGAGACACCCTGTTCGTCAAATTTATACGGGAAAAAATATATTCTTTTTTTTTCAACATCGCAACTATCGCCAGCCCAAAGATAAGCGTCCCGCTTTGTCGTCGCGACGAGACCATCTATTGAAAATTCACGTGCCAACGCGCTACGCGACTGGAATTTCAAAGGGACGAGCAGAGAGTTTCGCAGGAACGTCGTTTGCGGTGGTTCTTACGCGCTCGTGCGGACGCCACGTATAATCGACCTCGTGACTCGTTACGATCGCATCGCACGCGGGATTTTTCCGTTTCAGTCCGATCTCTATCGCCGACGAAAAAGATTTCCTCGATCCGCTGGAAAAGAAGCGCACATTTGACTCTTTAATCGAATAATTTTATAGTAGTGTAATACAAAATTTTATACGTATTTTAGTCTCTCATTAAATTTAGTAAATTTTATAATTTATTTGAAAATGTAATTTATTTAAAATATATTTTTAATTAAGAATATAATTTATTTTAAATATATTTTTAATTAAAAATGTAATATATTATAGGGGATGTTCTTATAATTCGAACAAAATGTTACCAAGTTTTTTAGGAATACTTGTAGATTAATATAATACAATATTAAATATAATTTTAATTCTTGAAATAAAAAATATATCGTTTATAAATCTAATTAAAAGATAAAGAACCACGAGATGAAACAATATTTCGTTCACTTTCTCTGTGATTGTTCTTGATAACGGGGGCAATAAAATGGTTTAAGAAAATATTTATTATTACGATATATGTGAAAAATAACGAGAAAGATATGATGCATTTCTGGGAATTTTATTGATTAGAAAGTCCAAGATTACTGCAACTTAAAGGAAAGATAACGTCTAGTTGATATAATTACTGGTATACGCGATGCAAAGAAGTGAACTTGAAACCTAAATACGCTCATCGAATCTCTAGATATCGTCTATTATCGCCGAGGTACAATCTGTATAACAAGCTTGATTTGGTTTATACTGTGTTATAAATCAGAACTCGCTCGTAATGTATCATTGGTACCCTGAATATAACGGAGAGATCGAGATATCGCCTCGAGATACCTCCGCTGGCAGGTGTTGCATCGCGGATTAACGAGTTTTCCTTTTTTTCTCCTTTTCTTTCTTTTTTTTTTTTTACAAAACGAACGCATTCGACTAACCGATCGAATCGATCGAAGACTAGAGCGCGATCGTTACTTAATCGAATGGAAATTCAAAACACCCGGGGCCCTCGACCCAGATGGCATTTGACCTGACACGTTCAACATAAATTTGCATAGCTCGCGTTATTTGCGAGCGATCGGCGCGATAGCCAGGTATATACCTTCCGATCAATTAATGTCGGCCGATGAAAAAATATTTTCTTTATCCGATAATCTTAGTCGGGGGACTTGGACTACGCATTTAAAATCGAGAATAATTAAGTACGATTAAAATCCTCTATGGTTCATGGAAGAAAGAAGAATCCGTATCGAACTACAATGTTAGAAAGTAAGTATCTTTCAGTCGGATTCTCATAATTTTGAAATTAATTTCTTTAAGTATCTTCGCAATTTATCTCGTAAATTTTACGAAAGTCAAAAATTATATAAATAATAATTAATTTAATAATAATATAATATAAATTTCAATCTTTTAATTTTATTTTAAATGTATATTTTAATTTTAATTTTAAATTTAAATTTTTATTTTAAATTTAAATCAAGAAATCATCAATCTAAAATCATTAATAAGAATATA